ATATATCGCGCTGCTCTTGACAGTCCAAGTCATCCTCAAGGTACTCTTACTCGCGGCCGAATCTGTGTCAAAGCCAGTCACCCTCGCCATACCTGCTCGTCGGGTCTCCCGAGAGGAGACATCGGGTATCTTTGGCAAGAGCTTCGCGACATGGGTCAACCCTCTGTTGCGGTTAGGGTGGAAGAGGAATCTCTTAGCAGAAGACCTTGATCCTCTTGATGGAGACCTTGATGGAGAAGCGGTGCTTGAGCGGCTTTCCTCAGCGTGGAAGAATGGTACGTAAATCTCCTCATCTCCTCCTGATAATTGTGCTGCTTTTTGAGTGACACCTGGTACTAATTGATGATCCCATAGTCGATCAGGACAAGAATCACGCCTTAGTCATAGCGGTCCTCAAGGCCTTCCGAGCCGAGCTCCTCTTCATCCATATCCCGCGCATCGGTATGGTGGCTTTTGGTCTAGCACAGCCCCTTCTCGTGCAAACCACAATTGGGTACATCCAAAATCACAATGACGAGCCCATTACCTACGGCCAAACCCTCGTCGCTGCCTTTGCCATCACATACCTCGGCCTAGCCGTACGTGCCACTATTCCGAACTTTGGCCAGCTGAGAACACAGGACTAACCACACGCCTCTCGGATACTTGCAGATCTCTACTAGATGGTCCGGCCAACTCACCCATCGCCTCATTACCCGCATCCGCGGCGCCCTCATTGCGATAATCTACCAGAACATGCTCACCCTCCGCGCGGAGACAGGGAATTCCCAAGCAGCAGTCGCGTTGATGAGCACCGAGGTTGAGCGGATCACGGTGGCGTCTCAGTGGTGCGCCGCCATCGTCCCTAATCTCATCCAGCTCGGGTTCGCCATGTGGATCATGAGCGAGCAGCTTGGGGCTGTAAGCGTTGCTCCCATCATCATTGCGCTTCGTAAGTCAATGATTTGTCGACAGCTCTGATATCTTGAACCTCGGGTTTGTCTAACAGATTTGATAGTCAGTGTGTCGGCCGGTATTAGAACGGGCCAGTTGATCCCGCCGCGGCAGAGGAGGTGGATGCAGGCGATCCAGAAGCGTGTTGGCATCACCACAGAAGTCATCGGCTCAATTAAGGGCGTCAAGATGAGCGGCCTGACTAGTACAGTCCAGGACCAGATTCAAGGTCTCCGAGACTTTGAGCTGGATGAGTCCAAGAGGTTCAGAAGAGTGCAGATTCTCAACGTTCTCATCGGTAAGTTAAGCAATCCGTTACCCCTAGGCGGCGGCATGTCTAAAACTACATGCGCCAGGTCAATTTCCATCAATCATGACTCCCTCTATTACCTTCGCCGCCTTTGGCATCATCTCAAAGTTATCCGGCGGTCAGCCGCTCAACGTAGTCCAGGCTTTTACATCACTCAGCCTCCTCGGTATCCTGATCAACCCCGTCTCCGAGCTAGTCATGATCCCAAACAACCTCGGAGCCGCCATCGGATGCATAGACAGAATCCAGGAGTACCTCGTCAAAGAGAAGCGGGTGGATTATCGCCTCTTCAAGTCAAACACCTCTCCAGACACCGCGGCGCAGGGAAGCAACGGAAATAGCGAGCCGTCGCAAACCGACAGCGAGGTCCGACCCCTGATCAAAGTCTCGAACGGTTCCTTCGGCTGGCACAAAGACCAAGCCATTCTCAAGTCACTAAACCTCGAGATCCGCCGAGGGAGTCTCACAGTTCTCATCGGGCCCGTCGGCTCCGGCAAATCTACATTGCTCAAGTCCCTCGTGGGGGAAACCTACCGTACCTCAGGGTCGGTGGAGTATGCAAGCTCAACTGACGTGGCATACTGCGACCAAGACCCCTGGATCCTGAACCAGAGCATCAAGGAAAACATCATCGGTAGCGTTGCTACGCACGACACGACTGACTTTTACAGCACGGTTATTCGAGCATGCCAATTGGAAGAGGATCTCGATCTACTCCCGCAGGGCGACGAGACCATAGTTGGAAGCTCAGGCTCGGCTCTCAGTGGTGGTCAAAAGCATCGGATTGTACGTATACTAGCTCAAGCCTTTCTCGAGATCAGGTGCAACTTGATATTGACGATTTTCGATAGGCACTTGCTAGAGCCGTTTACAGCGGAAAGCAAATCATCATCATGGACGATAACCTGAAAGGCCTTGACTCTAAGACGGCTTCGAAATGCTTCAGCGCCCTATTTGGCACTGATGGAATCTTGCGTGGGGAGGGTAGGGCCGTGATCTTTGCGACGCACAATGGTAAACAACCCTCATATCTACCCTAGTGCCCCTGGTATTTTGCCATCAAGATGTATGAACGAGCAAATACTGACATAGTCAATGATGGCCACAGCCTCATGGCTTCGTGCTGCGGACAACATTATTTCCCTCGGCAGCGACGGAATCATCTCGGAGATGGGTTTATACGAAGACCTCTATAAGACCGGAGGCTACGTCAGTACACTTAAGGTCACCCAGAAGAGTGACCACGAGAATAGCGATTCGGAAGAAGCAGAAGCAGAAGCAGAAATCCAAGAGCATGCCAACAAGAAGGACAAGGCTGCCGCGGTTCGCAAGCCAGATGACTGTCTCAACGTAAAGACTCGTGGCGCAGCGAACACGAGTTCGCTCTTGTATTACATCAAGTCAATGGGAATCACGCCCTTTGGGCTTTTTGTGGTGATGGTTGTTTTCCAGACAATCTGCAGAATCATGCAACGTAAGATCGCATCCAGCTTCTATTTCGCTCGGCTATTAGTCTCGCCTTGGAGCTTTCTCGAAGATTATTAAATCATTCTTAGGTCTCTGGGTCAAATTCTGGGTCGCTGCCAACGAGAAAGGAGGACAAGATAATCTAGGGATGTGGGTTGGCGTCTACATCCTCTGGGGCACCTTAACGGAAATGGCTCTCGCCATCGAGTGCTAGTGAGTCCCATACCTCGTCAAATCCCTCCTACCTATTCCTACTTATATAGAGGCGGGACCTGGGTTACTGACAGAGTTGTGTTCCGCTCTCAAGCTACTTCCTCGTTATCATTGTTCCTCACTCGGCTAAGGGGCTTCACTTTAGCGTCCTCAAAGCCGCTCTCTCGTAAGATTTATTCTGGTTTGCCTCTTTGACTGGAATGAAGATATCTGACGTCTGAACTGTTGCCAGAGCGCCCCTGTCTTTCTTCATCAAGACCGATACAGGCATTATTATTAACCGGTAAGCCTACCTATACTCTCCCTCCAGTACCATCTAGACCCTCAGCTGACCTTGATGCTCCATCCAGATTCAGCCAAGACATGAATCTCGTCGACCTCCCCCTCCCTCTCGCCTTCATGCTAACCTTTGACAGTAAGCAGTCAACTTTCGTTCCTCCCATCTCCTCAAGTCCGGTAACTAACACCATAAACAGACCTCACCCTCGCAATAGCAGACATAACCCTAACAACCCTCGCCACACCAACCCTGTCCCTCTCCATCCCCATTCTCATCCTCCTTCTCTACCTTCTCCAACGAGTCTATCTCCAAACATCCCGTCAAATCCGCCTGCTCGACCTCGAGACCAAATCCCCGCTCTTCTCGCACTTCATCGCATCAGCCACCGGCCTCATCACCATCCGGGCTCTCGGACCCCACTGGACCTCCCGCGTGCAATCGCAGAACCTACAACGGCTAGAACTCTCCCAGCGCGCCTTCTACGCCATGGGAAGTCTGCAAAATTGGCTTCTACTAGTACTGAACCTCGTCGTTGCGGCGTTGGCGGTGTTGTTGGTGGCGTCTGCTGTTGTGTTGAGGGACCGGGTCGACGCGGGATTGCTCGGTGTCGCGCTCGTGAGCGTCATGACGTTTGGACAGCTGTTGACGCTGTTGTTGAACTATTGGGCGCAGCTGGAGACTAGTTTGGGTGCTGTGGCGAGGATCAGGGAGTTCGAGGCGGAGACTCCATCTGAGGAGAACGAAGATCATGACGAGGATCCTGCGGTGAAGGAAGAGTGGCCTTCCAGGGGGCGGATCGATATGCGGGACGTGTCGGCAGCGTACGATGACCATCAGGTTCTCAGCGACGTCAATCTCACCATAGAGCCTGGCGAGAAGGTAGCCATTTGCGGACGAACGGGTAGCGGGAAGTCTACTCTTCTCGCGCTCCTGCTTCGACTTCATGAGCCATCTACTGGTGTGATTGAGGTAGACTGTGTAGATATCCGCAGCGTACCCGTCACACGGCTTCGAGAGACTCTCGTCGCGCTGCCACAGGATCCGCTCTTCCTACCCGGGCCTGTTCGTCTCAACCTAGACCCGTTTAACTCTTGCAAAGACGATGCCAACATCTGGAATGCTTTGGAGAAGACGGGGCTGAAGGCTCTATTCGAAGACAAAGGAGGTCTCGAGGCCGATCTGAACACTGACTGGCTGAGTGCAGGACAGAAGCAGCTATTTTGCATGACCAGGGCCATCTTGAGGGACAGTCGTGTCTTGCTGCTGGATGAAGCGACAAGCAGGTGAGTCGTTGCTCTCTATCTTCACTCTGAGGCGTCAAGCACGCTAACATTTACCAAAGTCTCGATCAAGCCACGGAACAGATCGTGCAAGATCTCATCGGCAGCGAGTTCCAAGGCTGGACAATCATCGTTATCGCGCATCGACTACGGGCTGTCGTGGACTTTGATAAGGTTGTTACGCTCCAGGATGGGAAGGTTGTCGAATTTGATAGTCCCAAGAAGTTGCTCGAGGACGCAGGCACGTTTGCTGCGATGTGGAAGCTTCAAGAAGGTTGAATGATTACTGTCTTCATCGGCCTCTTGCGCAAAGATGGTGGGTTGCAGTAGAGGAGCTAAGCGTTGTGTTCTAACTAGAATTATCGAAAAGGGGCTTGCAGTGTAAATCTGTGCTTTTATTTCTATAGCTGAGCAAGGGCTCTCATTACTAGAACATATATACTTATTTTCGTGTGTATCATTCTCTCCCCGGTTTCAGTCCATTTGTCTCCAAGACATGTTCATGATCCGTTCGCCCCTATTTAGTCTTCAGCTTTGCGGCAGCCTCCCTAGCGAGGGCGCGCACCTCCTCATCAGAAGCCGTCTGCGATATCGACATAATGCTATCGGCCCAGACACCATACCTCGCCTCGTTCATTCCCTTCCACTCGCGATCCGCAAACTTGCTCCCCGGCTTGCCAGACTTGCCGTCAAAGTCGCGTCCCTTGAGACTCAAATCATGCAGCGCGTCCGGGGCGTACGACAGCCATTGGTAAGCCAGCCTAGTGGCAATAGAATTACGTTCTACACTCGCTGCAGCAAAGTCTTCCTCGAAGGCCTCGCGCAGGGCCCAGAGGGCGTAGAGGGAGAAATCAAGAGGGTCTTGGGAGTTGGTAAGGTCGGCGCGGGCGGTGAGCTGGGCGGCGAAGGCGGAGAGGTTTGTCCAGCTTGCCTTTTCTTCTGCTGATGCGGAGGCGTCGGAGGTGTCTAAGTGCGTTAGTGAGGGTTTTTCTCGTCTGACATAGCACAGTGGTATTTATATGGCACACCCGCTACTGCAAGCGGTGGATGTACTCACCAAAGTTCCACAGATCACGGGCAACCCATCCAAAGGTGGGGAGATCCTTCCAGACGACTTGGTTGTTCAATTTCAGGGGCTGACCATCCGAGGCTGTGACAGTGGTCTCGCGCAGGCGTTGCAGGAAATCGAGGAGCGGAGTTTGTTTCTCTGGAGGGGTCTGCTTAGCAACGGCAAAGATGGCGTTGTATGTATCCCAGAGAAAATCTTCGATCTGAGATTCGGACTTCTTTGCCAAATCCTTGAACTCGTCAACGGTATTTTCGAGTGCCTTCTTGTCGGTTGCCCCTTCGGTCTTGACGAAGGAGCTGAGGGACTTGTAGGCGGGCAACGCAGCAATGGCGTCGTTCACGCCCACCTTGGGCGCATCAGTTTTCGGCAATACGCTACTCATTTTGGGTATATGTGAGAAAGGATGAGGACGAGTAAAGAGAAATGGCTTTCTAGAGGTATTTGAACAAGAGGTGGAGGGGTTGCGATGTTGACAGGTTGACAGAAGGTGTGGCGGTGGTGGAGGTGCTAGTGTTGATAGCCGTTTTATGGCGATGTCACAACGGGAAGGTGGGAAGCCTGGACGAGGCCAATTTGGCCAATCTCGGCCCACGTGGAGGCAACGCAGCTTCACTGACGTCGTCAGCGGGGAGTCGCGCATACGGTACGTACTCACAGTCGTACCTGCCAAAGCCTGTGAGAACCTTAGGTAAGCGAGTAAACAAGGAAGGAAGCCCCGCTCTCGGCTGGCATGCACCGTGCACGGAGAACAGAGGCAGGAGCCGGCCGGGCAGCCACAGAAGGCACGGCGGGCAAGGACAAGACGAGACGCGCAAGCCATGCAATCTTTCTCGATCCTTCCAAATGCATGTGGCTATGTCTAAAAAGTGTTTGATAAAGCGTTCAAAGTGTGGCACGTCGAGCTGAATTATGTGCATTTATTTCCATTGGACCTAACTGCATCTCGTCTCGGTTGATCGGCTCCTCCCGCCCTCCAGCCCAGGACCTGGCGCTGCAAAGAACCCAAAGCACCCAGCCAATAGCCCCCAAACAAGTGGAGACGGCGGCCTCTGGAAAACAGGCACGAGATTAAGCTTATGTTTTTTGTCAAGCTTTGATTGGTGCCAACTCAAATTTCACGTGACTTTTCCCTTGCGTTCCAGCACCGTCTCTGGACCCGGCTCACCTGAAAACGCCGTGGAAACACCTAAAGAATCTAAAGGCCAATAAAGTTTTGAGCTGTTTGGGAGCGTTTGGGAGTTGGAAAGGAACCGCCTAGCCTGGCCTGGCCCCGGAGTAGGAAGGGACGATGTGAGCTGAAATTGACTGGATTTAATTTGCATTTTCCACACTTGGCACACGGGAATCGGGTTCCTCGCGCCGGCCAAGTTTCTCGGCAGCTTTGGTGTCCTTTCTTCGCTCGCCTTATTCTTTCAGTCAACTCAATAAAGCATTCGCAACTTTTAACCGCGGGCAGGCCCATCATCTCCTTGATTATTGACTTGATTCACGCCACACCTTGTCCTCATCCATTTCTCGTCACGTCTCGAAAAGACGTTGTAGGCCCGCATAAACACCACATCACCCAACGTCCTCGGACACATCGACATCAATCTCGTCTCACACACCATTCCAGTCCACCAAACGACGCCATCCAAAATGGTCTCCTTCAAATCCGCCCTCACCCTCGCCCTTTGCGCCGTCTCCGCCGCCGCGAGCCCCATCGCCAACCCCGAGCCCGAGCAGGCCCTCGAGAAGCGCCAGGGCACAACTGACGTCGGCACCGTCACCTGCGGCAGCAACAAGTACTCTAAGAGACAAATCCAGGACGCCACTGCAGAAGGCTGCCGTCTCTATGCCGCCAACCAGCAAATCGGCACCAGCCAGTACCCCCACCGCTTCAACAACCGCGAGAACCTCGTCTTTGCCACATCAGGCCCCTACCAGGAGTTCCCCATCATAACTTCTGGAAACTACAGCGGACGTAAGTCGCATTTGGATCCCCTAACATCTCATCATTCCCCAGGAACCGGTTTCTTGGCATTTCAACTGCCACCTTCGCCGCTCTTGGCACGTCATCGAACATGAGAACACGCACTGACATTGCTGCATCATGCAGGGGCGCCCGGAGCCGACCGTGTTGTGTTCGACCCGGCGTACCGGGGCAGCTGTGTCTATGTCGGCGCCATGACCCACACCGGCGCTGCATCGCGCAACGGCTTCGTCTCCTGCAACCAGACAAGGTCGTCGTCTTCGGCCAATGGCACATCTGCTGCGTCGAGCTACAAGGGGTCCGGCTCGATCGGGGCTGTTGTCTCCATTCTCTCACTTCTGGCACTCACTGCTTAATCGAACTCGGCACGCAACGCGAGAAAACAAACGCCGAGCGAGGGTAATGTGAGAGACGGGGACATGATGACGCCGCTGGCCGAGGAATAACGGATCGACCCAACTCTCGACGTATAGACTCTGGTCTGGCCCTCATCGGGCGCCGTCCCCGGATGAGAGAGAGTTCAGTAGGGGAAAACAACAGAAATGAGGCTGTCTGCGCCTGATGTTTATGGTATTTGAAAATCGCCTTTTCGAACATTATGGGTAAAAGGGGCTCGAGCTGGGGATTGAGTTCAGAGCTTAGCCGACCGCGGTATCTTGCCCACCCAACTGAGTTGTTGCCGCACCAAAAGACAGGGGAACCCTCTTCATCGCAAGTTCGCAACACCATGCGAGAGCGAACTAGAGTTGGGAAACTTTCAACGAGTGTCCAGTCTCTTACATCTGGTTTGTGGCTCGACAGAGGGTGCCGCAGGAGGGATCTGCCTCTGGAGCCTTTGGGCTGGTGTTGAGGTAAACCAGTTAGGCCTCTACTCACTAATATGAGCCAAGCCAGTAATAATGAAACTTATCCGGACGCGTGTTGCACCCGGAACACAGTCACTTCAATTGCACTCATCTCATCGTCAATTCTCACTTCAAGCCCTATTTCATCTCTGGTTTGATGCGCGCACTCACTCACAGCATCCAGCATCCAATCATGACCCCTGTCTGCGTGCTGGTCAATGACCCCACCACTTTCAGAATGATGGCTGCCTGCTCATCTCAGCCCAAAATCTCACTCAAGCATCGGGACAGCTCATTCTCAATCTCAGCCTCGTAGATTTACATCTCATGAAATGAGAGTCAGAAATGAGAGTCCACATTTCAATCTGCACCAACAATGATCATCTGTAAATTTTGCCGGACTACAGTCCTTGAGTCTGGGAAACTATGGGACTATCACCACCAAGACTCCGACTCATTCAAGGAATCACTGCGATCTCAATGCGTCTTTTGCAAGAGGCTGGCTGAAGGCCTCGGTGAGATCAATCCTTGGTTTGACCATAACCTCAAGGCCAAATCCCTCTTTCGATGGAACATGCGGCAGGTCGCTCAGATCCGTGAGACAAAGAGCCATGTCTCTGTCACATTTCGACCGGTGCCAGGCCGCGCTTGCGGGGATGTGAAGAGCGAAGATCTGCCAGAAGTCACATTTTATCTCTTCCCCGAAGAAGGTTGGTCACTCTCATCGCAGATTCCACATTTGCATTCAAGAGTTCATGCACATACTCACCCCCTCGTAGACTTGGGGAATATTCCCGAGCAGCACGAACTCGGAAACCGAACAGACTCGGATGCATCTAAAGCCCAGATGATAGACTGGATGCAAGAGTGCATCGCCAACCACCCAAAATGCATCCGAAGCCATAGCATCAAGTCCTTCACTCCAACCCGTGTTCTCGACGCCGGTCCAGCAAATACCAACACCAACGACGCAACCCCACCTTCTCACATCCGCGTGATCGATACCGCAAAAGAACCCATCACCGGCCCCTACATGACCCTCTCCCACTGCTGGGGCACAGGATCCTTCATCCGCCTCACAGAAACGAATGTCGACGAGTACACCACTAACGGCATCCCCTGGGCAGAACTCGAGGCCAGTAACGCGAACTTTGCCGACGCGGTGCGCGTTGTTCGCACGCTGGGGATGAGGTACATCTGGATTGACTCGCTTTGTATCATCCAGGGACAGCAGCACGGCGAAGACTGGAACCATGAGGCGCCGCTTATGCATAAAGTCTACCGCAACTCATGGTGTAACCTCGCGGCGGCAGACTCAAAGGATCATACGCGTGGGTTGTTTAGGGAGAGGACGGCGGAGGTGGTGCCTGTGAGGTACGAGAGCCAAGAACCATCCGTGACGTTCGGGGATAAGGTATGGTGGATTTTGCCTGCGGATTTATGGGACCGAGATCTCTTGGGGTGTCATCTGTACACTCGCGGCTGGGTATTTCAAGGTCAGTATCTCCATCTCCTATCTTCGCCCTCGTCATCATCTCCAGCCGGTATACTAACACGCTAAGCAGAACGCATGCTCTCCCCCCGTCTGCTTCAATTCACTTCAACCCAACTCTTCTGGGACTGTGCAACCCTCACCGCAACCGAATCCCTCCCCGATGGCTTGGCCCCACCCCTCGATACCAAATCCGCCACCGACAGACACTGGCGCGAACGACTGCAATCCTCCGCCCTCTCCGTCCGGCCCCTCGCCGGCACAGCCGAGGACTCACTCGAAGAGTTCTGGAAGAGCGCAGTGGCGGCTTACACGAGCTGCGACCTCACCTACGGCAAGGATAAACTCGCCGCGCTGTGGGGTATCGCGAAACTCCTGCGGGACGCGCTGGGCGAGGAGTACGCTGCAGGGTTGTGGGGGATTAATCTCGCTGAACAGCTTGCGTGGCGGGTGGTTGACTGTTCTACCGCGGAGAGGTACGGTGAGAAGGAGAAGGTCGTGGTTCCTGGGGGTCAGGCGGTCGGGAATCCGAGTTGGTCGTGGACTTCATTGAAGGGGGAGGTGGAGGTTGCGGGTAGGGTGCCGAGGTTGCCTAGATTTTACACTGCTTGCGACCATGGGGGTGGGAACGCGAGGTTTCAAATCAAGAAGCCGCTTTTTGGGAGGTTTGAGGGGGAGCATTCGACGGTGTGGCGGGAAGAGGTTGTGAATATGACGAGGAAGCTGAATCGGGCTTCGGAGAGGGTGTCCGAGAAGGCTAGGGTGAGTGGTGTTACTACGATTACTCCCATTGTTGAGGATATCGCGGAAGAAGAGGTTGGGAAGGACGGGACGCCGAAGGTGGCGACGCAGCCGGAAACGAAGAGGGAATTTGCTATGGATAAGCCCTCGGAGCTTCTATCTGCTTCCCTACGTATTCAGGCGCATTTGTGCCGGGGGACACTCGAGGCATCTGGGGCAGGCCACTGGACGTTCACGTTCCCGGGACTGAACCAGAGCGACGCGCTCATCGAGGCCTATCCCGACATCCAGCCCACAGAGAACAGCAGGTCTTACGAGATGCTCTTGCTCGC